TTTTTTTTTTTTGTTTTTTGTTTTTTGTTTTTTTTTGTTTCCTGTATTTACCTCGAGCTGTCAGAGAGCAACAGAGCTGGCACTCACAGAGACCGATCCAGAATTCTCAGGCGCGTCCATCTCAAGCATCCAGAGGTTCGGTCGGAGTCGACGGGGTCGGAGGATCGCGCCGTGTCGGCGATGCATCGGCGATGCGGCTCGATGCGGAGCCCGACGTTCTCCACGCCGACGGCGCCGAGCTGTCGCCGGCGTCGCTGATGCATCGCCGATGCGTTGGCGATGCGGCGCGATCCTTCGACCCCATCTAGTCGGACCCCATCTCGGAGGCTTTTAAGTGGGCAACCGTCGGATTCGACATTCGAGGTTTTCGGGCGTATTCGTCGGTTCTCGGCGGTTTTCCAGCCTCGGGGTGACCCCCAGCGGGCGACTGGGCAACGCTACGGGTTCGAGGCGCGAGGTTTTCGGGCGCTTTCGTCGAGTTTCGGAGGTGTTCCAGCCAGGGCAGGGCGTTCCTGGGGTGCTTGGAGAGTCCCGAACGGCCGCCGGTGAGCCGAGTTATGACCCGAAAAACAAGGGAACAATGTAAGGGGGGGTAGGCTTCGGGGGTGGGATGCATCGACAGCCAATCGCCCGTCGATCGCCGAGAGGAGCCCGACAACCCACCCCGCCCAGCAGCGTTTGGTTTCGCTTTTGGGGGCCTATCGCCGATCGGCGATGTATGGGCTAATTTAAGCTCGATGTGTCCCTGTGAGTCAGTCCCCTGAGAACATTGTCTAAGAGAAGGCCTCCCCGATGGGGTCGGAGGATCGCGCCGCACCGCCGATGCATCGGCGATGCGGCTCGATGTGGAGCCCGATGTCCTCCACGCCGCCGGTACCGATGCATCGCCGACGTCGCTGATGCATCGCCGATGCATCGGCGATGCGGATCCGCCGATCCCATCTGCTCGGTCCCCGCGACGCAAAAAAACGGTGTCGTCTGCGCCGACGTTGTCGCGTGGGCTGCCCGCGTAAGGATCGCCCCGTGAGGGCCCCAGTCTACAGTGGCGTGCCGCGCTGGTGGCCCGCGTAAGCCACCGCGTAAGGCCGCTGTGCCATGTCGCATCTGTGGGAGGCTTCTGAGCGCGTGATTAAGCTGCCCGCGTAAGGCGCTGTGCCATGTCGCATCTGTGGGAGGCCTCTGAGCGCGTGCTTAAGCTGCCCGCGTAAGGTCGCGCCGTGAGCGCCCTCATCTCGGGTGTGGCGTGCCGCGCCCGGTGGCCCGCGTGAGCCACCGCTGAAGGTCGCCATGCCATCTCGCGTACAGTCACCCCGCACAGCAATGGAGGATGACGATTAATAAATGACCGGGGGTCGTGTTCACGCGGCGGCGCCCGGGATGACGATTAGAAAAAATCGGCCGCGGACTGGAAAACTATTTTTTTAATCGTTCTCCTCCAGTCAGAAAATTCTGCAGAAATAGCAGATTTGTTTGTTTACCGTTCTCTCCCATTTTTTATTCACAGTCATCCCGCAATAAGGATGGGCAACCGTACCAAGGGTACCCTTGCATCCCTGCTCCGTCGGCCCATCCTCACTATACGGGCTGACTGTAATACCCACTGTCGATCGTCGCGTCCGTGGGAGGCCTCTGGACGAGGGGGGGTGCGGACTGGGCCAGCCATGGCTGGGGCCACAGCAGCTCCTCCTCCTCCTCCCCCCCCTCCTCCTCCTCAGCTGCCGGTTCAGACGTGCACAGCGCGCGGGCAGCCCGCTCCAAGGTAGGAAACCTTCCCCATCAGGAGCGAGGATACTGTACCTCACCTCCCCCTCCTGCAGGAGGCATATTGCATGCATGAAAAGCGTTGGGAGGACTCTGGCAGTTGTTCTGACGATGAGAGCGTGCACGTACAACCCGTTGTCAGCATCGCAGGAGAGGCACGAAGATATATCCAGTGAGTTGGGATCGTGGGGCGTGGTGCTAGTATCAGGGACATGTCAAGTGGCACAGCCCGGCCACGGAACGCAACAGCATGCACACGCGCGACACTGGGGAGTGCACTTTGGGAAGAGGAAAGGAAAGTTGGTGTCGGACGCATGCGGGGTCACGATCATGGTACACAATAGGATACCTAGTCGAGCGCTGCGCACTGCATATGTACCTCCAGTGCAAATACGAGGGCGGGTGGGCGGCATTCGTATTCAGACGAATGAAATTGACTTCGTGGCCTTCTGTATCTACCTCGCCCCGATGAGTGATGCGAAGCACTCACTGGTTGCAGAAAGGGTATTCAGGTGGATAGACCAGCAGCTGGATGCACTTGGGGTGAGATGTGCTATCATAATAGGAGGGGAAGTGAATAGTGGACTAGGAATACACCGAGATGATGACGGCACCATGCAGAGGACAAGAAGTGTGACCCTACGAGGAAAAACCTTTGTTGCGAGAACGAGAATGGTAGGGCATACAGAGAGTTCTGCTACAAGAACGGGCTGGCAGTGGTAACTACTTTCTACGAAGACGGACCCACCTTCTATGGCCCCAAGGGGCAAGAGTCACAGATTGATCACGTGGGTGTCCCCATAGGAGCCATCCCGCTTGTCTCTCAGTGCAGCTGCCTATACAGAGCAGCAAAAAGACTCCAGATGATCCCAGATAGGAGGTTCAGGGACCACATCCCGATAGGCATACACGCGGAGATGTCAATCACCAACCACGGGTACCCTACAGGTGACAATGACAAGATAGATCGGGGGTGCTTGATGAGGTGCCTGCAGAAAGGCTACAGAAGAGAAGAGCTATTCACAAAGGTAGACGAACAGATAAAAAAAGGTACCTATAGGTATCTGGGAGCAGCTGTATTCTAAGAAGTCCCCTGATTTCCTTTGGAAAAAGTACGTGGAGTGTGTGAGCGCGGCGTTGCACGGCGCGTTCAAGCAGGGAGCGCGCAGCAATGACAGCACATACAGCACGATGCGCACGAGAAGGATGCAGCTACTGGAGGAGAGGAGGCAGCATAGGGAAGGGCTACACGAGGAGGGTACAGAGAACAGCAGGTCAAAGGTGGAGGAGGATCTGAAAAGAGTGACTGCAGCACTGAAGGAGCTCAGGGAAGCACACGTAGCCGCAGAGCGAGAAGGTATCGTCCGAGAGATTTGGGAGGCATGCAAAGAAAACAGATTCGCTGACATGCACAGACTAAGGGTTGAGTATCCGCGGAACGGGCGGGGGCCAAAGAAGAGATTTTACTTCAGCCACCGTTGTCGCTGGTCAGGCGAGCAGTGGAGAGAGGAGCTAGGTCGTGATCCGCATGAGGGAGGGCTTGCGTGCACCCCGCTCGACTGGGAACAGACTAGGCAGGACTACGCACATGACTGCGAGCTGGACGACGGTGACTTCCCATTCCTCCCCTCGGATAGTGACCTTAAAAACAGAGTGCAGAAAGATCGAAAGGCCATGAAAGCGTACTGCAGAACACCAAAAAACCGACGTGCATATCCAGAGTGGGGTCTCCTTGTAGAAATGGTGCGGATGCTGATCGAGCCAAATATTAACTTGTCTGGGCCAACAGAGAAGACGAAGAGACTAGAAGCACAAAGGATTAGAGCAGCGGAGAAGGAGGATGACGAGGAGGAGCTTGGGAAGTACAGCACGCGCTACATCCTAGCCAAAGGAAGAACGATCCTGCAGAAGTTAGGTTGGAACCCAGGCGAAACTATAGGGGCACGTCAGCGAGCAGAGGGAGCGCCAGCACAAGAAATTATTGAGGGCCCACATTGGCAGTTCGGCAGAACGGAACTATCGGGAGTGGGAATGCCATTATTTAGTGAAGTAGAGTATGATGCGCCGAAGATGCTGCTGAGGATTATGGGGCACTTCAGGCAATGCCAGACTATGCCGCTAGACATGCTACGATCGCACAGCTTCGCAGCAGAGAGAGCAAACAACAAGATCGGACTCGCGGGAAAGCGCATCATGCACGCGTACTGCGCAGCTGGCATGGCATGGCACAGTGGGATACATAAAAGAGCGCTGCATATTACTCGACCTCACTTCGCACACGGAGGACTTGCGCATAGGTCACGGGAACATGCAGTGCTAGTATTGCTGGCCACGAAGTGGAGATGTGAGCAGGCAGGGAGATCGCTTATCATGAGCAATTTTGACTGCACAAACGCATTCGCATCGACCGACAGAGCGTTGCCCCGAGAACAAATTGATCGCACCACAGAGGAGCATGACATCCCGTACGCGTATGGAGCGCTGGAGCACACTGCTTTGTCCCTACAGGCAGCCGGCGAAAGGGTTGACCTGAAAAGCAACAAAGGGGCCCAGATGGGCTTCACGCTGGCTCCACGTGACTTCAACGATAGCTACAACCCAATCGTCACAGGCTGGCTAGAGGGAGAGAGAGAACAGGAAGGACAGCAGGTGAATGACACTCTGCACCCCATAAATGAGAAGTGCTACGACTTGAGCATTAGCACCTTCATGGGCGATATTACAAGAATAACGATGCTACCTTTCGCAGCAAGAAAAGAGGAAGTGATAGAACAGATGAACCTGGTAAGCGGTAGACTCGAGGAGCCCTAACAGCAGGAAGTTGGCGGCTCAACCCTGACAAGACAAACCGCCTTCTAGTATTACGAGGTGAAAGAAGCTACCAGTGCACGCGGGCACTGAGGAACCAGACTAGTGGACCCAGGGGGGCGGCTTTGCGAGTGATGAGAGTGTTGGGGCCCTATATACCTTCGGACCAGGGACTAGGGGACGAAATGCGGAGGCGCTGCGACGCAGCAGGAGCAGCGTGGAGACAGTGTAGCACGTTCTGGTCGTCCAAGACCTCGAAGGTGATCAAGCGAAGCATGTTTATGGCATTTATTTTGGGGGCAGCATTGAGCGGGTTGTCTTGTTTTGTCATAAGTAAGGAGTACACGGACACGATAGACGTCATGCTGTGTAAGTTACCAAGATATCTGTCGAGGGGAAAGCACTGTTGGACTGACGAGCAGGGAAGGAAGATGACAACGACGGTGGAGGAAGTGTTCAGGGAATGGAGGATCATCAGGAGCGCAGTCGAGCTCAGAGTCAGAAGGCTAAAATGGTACAAGCGTTGGTCGCAGTTCCCGAACGACCACGAGGCAGTCATAGCAGCAGTTTTCGGCACGTCTAAGAGTGACCAGAGCATAGGGATAAAGCGCACCAGCGAGCACAAGAATATCACACAGCCCACACCGTGGGCAAAACAGTATTTGGAGGACATGCGCCACCTTGCAAATAATGATGAAGAATTTCAGGAGTGGTACGATAAACGGTCGAGCGACATGAGTTTATTTACAGATGGGACCGAAGAAAAAGAGAAATGGCTTAAGACTGACCCTTCAGTGTTGAATAGCATAGCAAGAGAGTGGAAACAAAGTAGACCACATACCGAAACCAAAGAGCCCGAGGAGGTAAACCAACGGAACTGGGTAAAAGATTTTGGTGCGACTATAAGAGCGTGAACTCAGAGGGGGCAGACGTTGCGTGCGGGTGCAGATTTCGGACAGCAGCAGCACTGGCAGCGCGCTGGAGAGTACAGCACAAGATAGAGCCGCTCATACCTAAGCTTGTAATCACGAATCAGTGCCCGCGGTGCAGATCGATTTTTTCCAGTGAGAGAGTGGCGACGGACCATGCAGCAAGGGCGGCAGAGGGGGCGGGCATCTGCTACATTGCTTTTTCGAAGTGGGAACACAAGCTGATTGGGGTAAGCGAGAGTGAGCTGATCTGTAGCGTTTGCCAGTATCAAGCTAGCAGTTTCGAAGACTTTCAGACACGCGTCACGTGTCACCACCCTGGACCGCACACAGTACGATTTGGAAGAATTCAGAGCGTCCTGGGCGTCGGCGAAGAAGAAGAGGGCGGTGGAAGGAGCCAGCGGAGCGGACAGCAGCAGTGGGGACCAGCAGATGCATGGGAAAGGAGGAGGTGGCAAGGGCAGAGGGCACAAGCAAGTGAGAGCAGACAACGTCGCCGCAGCCCCAGAACTCCAGCAAGCCTTGGTCACTGTCCAGAAGCTAACCCTCCGCGTCGCAGCAGAGCAGAGAGACGTGGCCAACATATGCACCGAGTTCTGGATCCCCCCTCGCACAGCCGCACTTATTCGAGAAGGTTTCTAGGCTGGACAGGGGTACCACCAGGCTGTAAAGGAAGCGGGAAAAGGACACAAGCTGGGCCCCCCCCCCCACGTGCACATAGCGGCGGGGGTGATCGGGGCGATGCACGAGGCGTTCGGGGACGACGGGACAGAGGGAGAAGCAAAGAAAGTACTCGCGTCTTGGATGGAAGCAGCAGGGCCAGAGGAGTACGGGAAAACATGCGTGGACGAGTTTTTCCGGATGTTCCGATTGAGGGAATGCTACAGCCCAGACGGAGCGCCAGAGCAGGAGCGCAAGGCAAAACTTCAGTACTCACTCAACATGAGCCCCGACCTCAGGACGGTGATCCACCTGGCCACGGGGCCCCCAGCTCAAGTGCCCACGGTCGACATGAGATCCTTCCAGAGCGCCTTCACCCTGGGGTTGATCAAAGCGGGGGGAACCAAACCGACGGGAGCAGGGCCCAGGGCGGAGTTGGAGAGGACTGTGGAGCGCCAGCTGAGGAATTTCCAGAGAGTGTGATGCAGCACGCACGTGCGCTTGCCCGCGGTCCTCGGAAGCTTGCGAATCTTTACAAGATGCGGGACAACGGGGTGCAGAGAGTCGGGCAGCTAGTCAGAGCAGTAGAATTCGTTAGGCGTCAGATGTCCCAACAGTTGCAATATGCGTATTTAAGTGGGCAGTATGTTTTACACTGAAGACGCCTGTATCATAGTAAGGGAGAGAGGAGATATGTCGTTGAGTGTAGCCGTCTCGATCGAGCTGTTGCAGGGGGACAGCATTGAGCAGCTGATTGTAATATTGCTTGTGCGGACGTGCGCCATGGCAACCGCACCAGCATCTGCAACGGGAGTGACCGCAGCGAAGGCTGCGCCAGCTGTTGCTACGGGTGCAAATGCAGTGCCAGTACCTCGCCAGCCGACAGGCCCCCCTCCTGGCCCTCCTGGCCCGATCCGCTCAAAGGCAGCACCAGGTCGCAGGAACCAGAACCAGAATGACGATCTGAGCCGAGTGCATGCTGCTCAGCAGGCCCACCTGTCGACGGGCCGCATTCTGAGGGATCATTACTCTATCATTCTGGGGCAGTGCAGCATGTTGAACAGCCAGCTCAGTTACATCCAGCCCCAGAGAGACAATATCATGAACCCAGTTGTGAATGACACGCACTTGGAGGCAGACCGTGTCACCACCAGGCGCAACTTAGACAGTCAGATAAGCTACCTGGCTGATGAGCTGGAGCGTCTGCATGGAATCATCAGGGTGCTGGATGAGTCTGACTACGGAGTGCAGAGATTCGACTGGGAGATCTCGAGACCGAGCGGGAGCAGCGAGAGGGATGAGGGGCAGTAGTGCCAGCATGTCAGCGTGTCTGCATCCACTCCCTCCGAGAGCTGCCGCTGCCGCTCGCCTCCCCCCCCCCCTCGCCCCGCCCGGCCGGCAACGTCCACGCGCTGCTGCTGTATGCGCACAGCCAGCAGGACAGCCCTGGGCGCGGGGGGCGGGTAGAGTCGGCTCGGCCACAGTCAGAGACCATCGATTATCTTTTCTCCTTTCTTTTTGTCCTCCCAGGCCTCTAGGGGCCAGAGGTTTAGCAGTGCGGGGTGCGCGGCTCGCTCCACGAAGGAGTAACCGCCCCCCCCCCCCCCGAGTTTTGAGGTTTAAAATGCGTCGGGAGCCTCTGCCGAAGCGGCAGCGCTTGCAGTGTGAAGCTGCGGCGCTCGCCGTAGGCGGCAGGGGGGGACAGGCAAAGGCTCCATCCTTGAATGCTTCCATACCGTACCTAGGGGCAGCTAGTGTCACATGTGGCTTGACCTTTGCCCCCAACGGCTCCGCCACCACCACCTCCTCCTCCTCCTCCTCCTCCTCGCCCCCCTCCCCCTCCTCCTCATCCTCCTCCTCCTCCTCCCAGCCGTTCTGGCTCAGGCTGTTGTGGCCTGTGCTTGCAAGCGCGTGCTTCAGAGCGGCTCGCGCTTGCGGGCCAATCTCGCCGTTCTGTTCACGAGGCCTGCGCGGCCAGCCTTTCGCCGCGGTGCCCCCCGCAGTGGATGGCCCCTCTCGATGGTCAGGTGCTGCCTGGGCCGCGCGCGCCCCGCTGGGGCTGTCAGTGCGGAGTGGCGGACAACTGGGCGTCGAGGATTTCATGCCGTTTGCGTGGTCGCGCTGCCGCGCAGAAGACCATCCAGGCTGCGCGCCAGGCTGCTGCGAAGGCCAGGTCATCACAGCAGCCGCTGGGGCCCAAGTCCAGGCCGCTGCTCGGCCAGCGGGCGCAGGGCCCCCCAGGCAACGCGAATGCGAAGATGCTCAAGCAGCTCCAGGACTTGCAGCATCAGGTCGCGAAGCTCAAAGGTGGAACCCAGCCGTCGTCGGGTACGTTGCCACCGTGGGCCAATGGAGCAGAAGCTGCAGGAGGTGGCAATTGAGGTGTAGGTCCTGCACCGCACACCTCGGGGATCGACGTTTTCGCCTACCTCAAGAAGCTCAGGGTCGACAGTGCGGCCATCGATGCGGTTGTGGAAGCAGAGAAGAAGGCTACGGAGAAAAATCGTGCACCTACTGCCCAGTCGGCGCGCTGGAAGGTGGAGAACCTCAAGTCCAAGATCACGAAGACGGAGGCGCGGATCACCGAGATTGAGAGCCAGCGCACAGCCTTGGACGAGGGGCGCAACACGGTCAAGGCGCCCCTGGACAAAGGGCGAGAGGATCTTGTGCAGGCCCAAGAGCTCTTGTGCAAGGCGCACGTCAGTGAGTTCGAGGACCCGCTCAAGGACATGTCTGCTGGCCTTGCCCCAGCGGTCGATGAGTCGGCGGAGGGCAGGGCTGCGCTGGAAAAGCTGCAGCAGCTGCAGCTCGAAGCTCAGGCCGCTGCTCGGGCCGCAGAGGCTTCTCAGGATGATGCTGGTGCTGCTGCTCAGCCTCCAGGTGCTCCAGGCGGAGGCGGAGAGAACGTCGCTGCCAACGCTGGAGACTCTGATGACATCGACATGGGGCTGCTCGGAGGAGAGGACTTCGACGAACGGAAGCAGGCCTTCGACACAGCCACTGAGGAGCTCGAGGCAGCCAGAGGTGGACCGAAGGAAGAGCTGGACGCTGCAAAGCGTAAGTACCTCGCAGCTGCACAAGCTCTCGGGGTCAAGCGTCCACGGGCTGGCTCCTAACCGGAGCGGAGTCGGTGGGGGGCGCACAGGCATGGCCGATCTTGATCGCTTCCTGGGCAGCGACATGCTCGACGCCGACTGGGAGGTGGCCAGGGGCTTTGCTATTCCAGTCCTGAGGGATGACCGGCGCTTCGAGTCCACGCTGTTTAGGCAGATGGATATGGAGGGGGGGCCGTTGCTCGACCCTGCAGCGCGGCTTCTTCCTGGCGCAGGACGCGGCGAGGGCCGTGGGCCCACGGGCGGAGGGGAAAGGGATACAGCCCTTGTTCGCCACGCCCGTCAAACCCTCATGCACTGGGGCTTCAGGCTCGACTGGGCCGTGAGCGGCGACTCCGACGAGCGGTGCACTCACTTCTCCTTTGGAGCCGCAGAGGTCGCCACGTGGACCTCGTGAGCCAGCGGAAGTTCGTGGACCTCTCCCCCATCTGGCCCGCTCCTCGGGGTTGGGGGCATGTGCAACTCAGAGGTTGACTGTTGAGCCCCAACTGGCCCGCTCCTCGGGGTTGGGGGCAAGAGCGAGCTTGGCGGCGTCGCCATCATCGCAGAGGGCCAGTGCATCGTCGTGGTCGGAGGCCCCCGTAGGCACGCACTGCTCAGCACTCTCGCCTGGCAATGAGGGCGCCAGAGGGTACCGACCTTCGGCTTTGGCTGTCGGCACGCGCTGCTCAGCGCACCCCTTACGCCAGGACTGTAGTGCCAGAGGGTACCGACCTTCGGGGGATGCTGGCGATGCCACTTGCGGTTCTGAGACCGCGAGCCCTCTTCCCCATGTGAAGCTAGACCCGGATTCGAAAATTCATTGGTTGAAATCCGACAGGAGAGCCTCGGAACCTCCTGCGTGTAATCTTCTTGCAGGCGAATGTACTCCAGGGGTGGCGCAGGGATCTGCTAGCGTTGTGAAAGTGACGAGTTATGCTGCTGAAGAGGCTCGCCGACACCCGCAGTCTATCGCCATCAGCACACTCGTCATTGCAGGCATGAGCGTAAATGCGTGGAGCACGTTCGAGGCGGTGATGGAGTGGTGGGCTGACGATGGCAAAGCTGCTGGGGCTCTTTCTCTTCTCCATGTTTGCTGCATACAAGAGACGCGCATTCAGAGTGATGCCAAGCAGGTCTCCGCTATGAGCTGGGGGCGCAGACATGGCTATCTTTTTCCCAACCATCCTGTGGTGTTGGGTCCTGGTTTTGAACAATTGGCCCCCGCGTTATTTTCTCCTCTCCTCTCCTCTCCTCTCCTTTCCTCTCCTCTCCTCCCTCCTCCCCCTCCGCGTCAGCCACGCCCACTTCGGCACACCCCTCACGCGTTTCGTGGCCCCATAAGGAGCTCCACCGAGGGCTCCAGTGGCTGCGTTCGCATGGCGGCACCGCGCCCATTTCGGCACACCCCTCGCACGTTTCGTGGCCCCACAGGGACTCCACCGAGGGCCCCAGTTGCTGCGTTCGCATGGCGGCGCCGCACCCATTTCGGCACACCCCTCACACGCTTCGTGGCCCCATAGGGAGCTCCACCGAAGGCCCCAGTGGCTGCGTTCGCATGGCGGCACAGCGCCCATGTCGGCACACCCCTCACTTTCGTGGCCCCATAGGGAGCTCCACCGAAGGCTCCAGTGGCTGCGTTCGCATGCCGGTACCGCGTTCATTTCGGCAAACCCTTTACACGTGTCGTGGCCCCATAGGGAGCTCCACCGAGGACCCCAGAGGCTGCGTTCGCATGGCGGCACCGCGCCCATTTCGGCACACCCTCACATGCTTCGTGGCCCCATAGGGGGCTCCACCGAGGGCCCCAGTTGCTGCGTTCGCATGGCGGCGCCGCACCCATTTCGGCACACCCCTCACACGCTTCGTGGCCCCATAGGGAGCTCCACCGAAGGCCCCAGTGGCTGCGTTCGCATGGCGGCACAGCGCCCATGTCGGCACACCCCTCACACGTTTCGTGCCCGCATAAGGAGCTCCACCGAGGGCTCCAGTGGCTGCGTTCGCATGGCGGCACCGCGCCTATTTCGGCACACCCCTCACACGCTTCGTGGCCCCATAGGGAGCTCCACCGAGGGCCCCAGCGGTAGCGTTCGCATGGCGGCACCGCACCCATTTCGGCACACCCCTCGCACGCTTCGTGGCCCCATAGGGAGCTCCACCGAAGGCGTCAGTGGCTTCGTTCGCATGGCGGCACAGCGCCCATTTCGGCACACCCCTCACACGCTTCGTGGCCCCATAGGGAGCTCCACCGGGGGGCCCAATGGCTGCGTTCGCATGGCGGCACCGCACCCATTTCGGCACACCTCTCACACGTTTCGTGGCCCCATAAGGAGCTCCACCGAGGGCTCCAGTGGCTGCGTTCGCACGGCGGCACCGCGCCCATTTCAGCAAACCCCTCGCACGCTTCGCGGCCCCATAGGGAGCTCCACCGAGGGCCCCCATGGCTGCGTTCGCATGGCGGCACCGCACCCATTTCGGCACACCCCTCACACGCTTCGTGGCCCCATAGGGAGCTCCACCGAGGGCCCCAGTGGCTGCGTTCGCATGGCGGCACCGCACCCATTTCGGCACACCCCTCACACGCTTCGTGGCCCCATAGGGAGCTCCACCGAGGGCCCCCGTGACTGCGTCCGCATGGTGGCACCGCACCCATGTCGGCACGCCCCTCACACGCTTCGTGGCCCCATAGGGAGCTCTACCCCCACCTGCACGGCCATTTCGGTACACTCCTCACACGTTTCGTGTCCCCTGAGGGAGCTCCACCGAGGGCCCCCGTGGCTGCGTTCGCATGGCGGCACCGCGCCCATTTTGGCACACCCCTCACACGCTTCGTGGCCCCATAGGGAGCCCCACAGAGGGTTCCAATGGCTGCGTTCGCATGGCGGCGCCGCACCCATTTCGGCACACCCCTCACCCCGCTCGTGGCCGCACAGGGAGCTCCACCGAGGGCCCCAGTGGCTGCGTTCGCATTGCGGCACCGCGCTCATTTCGGGACACCCCTCACACGCTTCGTGGCCTCATAGGGAGCACCGCCGAGGGCCCCAGTGGCTGCGTTCGCATGGCGGCACCGCGCCCATTTCGGCACACCCTTCACACGCTTCGTGGCCTCATAGGGAGCTACACCGAGGGCTCCAGTGGCTGCGTTCGCATGGCGGCACCGCGCCCATTTCGGGACACTGCTTCGTGGCCTCATAGGGAGCTCCACCGAGGGCCCCCGCGGCATTGCGTCATTTCGGGACACCCCTCACACGCTTCGTGGCCTCATAGGGAGCACCGCCGAGGGCCCCAGTGGCTGCGTTCGCATGGCGGCACCGCGCCCATTTCGGCACACCCTTCACACGCTTCGTGGCCTCATAGGGAGCTACACCGAGGGCTCCAGTGGCTGCGTTCGCATGGCGGCACCGCGCCCATTTCGGGACACTCCTCACACGCTTCGTGGCCTCATAGGGAGCTCCACCGAGGGCCCCCGCGGCTGCGTCCGCACGGCGGCACAGCGCCCATGTCGGCACACCCCTCACACGTTTCGTGCCCCCTGAGGGAGCTCCACCGAAGGCCCCAGTGGCTGCGTTCGCATGGCGGCACCGCGCCCATTTCGGCACACCCCTCGCACGCTTCGTGGCCCCATAGGGAGCTCCACCGAGGGCCCCAGCGGCTGCGTTCGCATGGCGGCACCGCGCCCATTTCGGCACACCTCTCACACGCTTCGTGGCCCCATAGGGAGTCCCCTCTCATTCGCTCAACCTGCTTTGCGGTACTCGTAACTGCATATGGTTGGGTCCATCGCCCGGGTAATTTCGTTTGGGAAGGCCCGCAGCATTGGGCCAGCCTCGCAGCAGAGCAGTTCAGGCGTTGCAGTTGCTGTCCGTTCGTCTCTGGGGTCGACGCCGACAGCGACCACGGTATTTGAGGATTGCTCTAGCAGAGTGCTGGCGAGGATCGTTAACGTGGGGTTCCCGAAGGGGCTCGTCATCATCAGTGTGTACTTTGTGACGGACAAGGAGCTCTCAGGACCCAATCTGGACTTCTTGCAGACGATTGGGGCCTATGTGATGGGCCATGGACCAGGCCCCCTTGTACCCGCACGCGCCAGCCATCTTAAAGCTTAAGGATCTCAACCACGTGTCGGCGATCAGCCAAGGCCTTTCACATGGAGCTTATCGGGCCCTTGCAGGCCCCGCAGGTGTACAACTGGTCTTGGGATGTGGATGCCCCGTCAGACCCGGGCCTCATGGTAAAGGAGTGGTTCGGCTTCTCGGAGCGGCGTATGATCCAGATCCACGGGATAGACCAGCAGAACTCCAGGGCCTTTGTGCGCAGGGCCGCAGGACCCAAATCGAAAGTGGTTCCTCCCATATCGGTTTGGGACAAGGACCAGAGGCGCAGGTTTTCTAGGTCGGCCGCGGCTTTGATCTCTCATGTTGCGCTGCGCAGGCGAGTTTCGCTATAAGCGCCGCCTGTTCCTCGCTCAGTGGTCCAGGGACCTGAAGGTCATGGTCGCTGACATGGGTTTGTTCGCCGCTGGCTCCGAACTCTCGCCCGAATGTTTGAGCACCTTCGCCGACGCTGCCACTGCGGGCGACGAGCCCGCCCACGACGCCTTGCATAAGATAGACGAGGAGGTTGACAGCAGGAGACGGGAGGATTCAAGACGCTCACTGAAGGAGTGGAGGGGCTGGACGGTTGAGAGTGTTAAAGGAGGAGGGAAGGCGGCTCACACGTTTGCTGCGAAGGAGGCATCGCACGTTACTTCACGTCTCGACGCCGAGGGCGTCCCGCATATAGGTGTTGGTGCTCCCTCTTTCTACGCTATTAGATGAGTGGGTACCCCTCTGGTGCGTAGCTGGTAGGCCAGATGAGCACCCCTCGCAGTGGTCTGCCCCCGACGATGAAGGCCAGCTTGAACGCATATCTTCGGATCGGCTCCTGAAGGCTTGTCGCAAGTATGGTCCAGGGGCTGGTTTTGGGGTGGAGTGGTTTCCACCCAAGATGGGTATTGA